GCCGTCGTCTCGCACCATATCGCCCTCCGACGGCGCGCTCGATACGCTACTGGTCCACCGACCACACCGACGGATCTACCGACTGAAAGTCCCTCAAACTCGTACGACCTCCCCTCGAATCCATGTGTGTGTACTCACACGGTCTTTCTCTACGCAATCCCATAGGACAACGTTAAATCTTGCCAGCATGATGATCTGCTCACATACCGCGAAGCTACGGAGGACAAGGTACAAAAAGACAAGTGAAAAAGGTGTGTGTCGCATCGTCTTTCCTCGCAAACACGTCTCTAACTAAAATGGCCTATCCAGATACAGTATTACACAGGTCAATGGGATGATCAAATTTGATTTGGCTAAGAACACATTTTTCTATTGATTTGTCGATAAACTGAGCCACCCAAAGCCATCTTTGAGGTCAAAAGTATTTATGTACGAAAATTCATGCGAATCTGTTGCGAAGTGGTTGAGATCAGGACTTATCTGTCTCAAATTCCCTTATCATCCCATAGATGGCTCAATGGGATGCCCACCCAGCACGTCCTCAATCTTCATTATTTTTGCCCAATTCCTTTTGGAATCTCCTTGGACTCGACTATAGAACACCTACCAAGAATTATATGCCTTTAGGTAGAATGCAATCGTGAAAACGAGGTTCGCAGGACGAGCATGTCACACATGTCACATACCTGCTTTTGGCTCAGGCAAACGAGTTGGGGCCATGTTATACAGAGTCTGAGTTGAGGCTTTTTGAGATAATGGTATTTCCTCCTTCTATGATTTTCTTCAAGAATTTTGGGCAGCTTGCGAGCAAGATATTCAAGTTCAAAATTCTGATTTCCTGTGGTTTCAGCATTGATGACCTCGGGTATCTGGTGGTACTGGCACTCTTGTTTCAGAAACTTGCCTACTCAAAGAAAACATGTCCATGGACATGCCTGCAAAGTTTCAAGGCCAGGGGATAAGTACTCATCTCACAATAATGGTTTGTCCCATTGGGCCATCATATCCCATTGACCCGTGTAATACTGTAGCTCTACTCCCTTCTACTTGCCACAAGCCCGAAGCTACCGCGACGTTGTCGTTGATGGACCGCAGACCCCGTTCCAGGGCCAGCACCAGGTATGTTCTGGTGCTTTTGTCGTGTTTCTACCCGCTCATCAGCTCCACAGACTCCCAGCGCCAATCCTCAAGTGCTCCACTATCCAGGAGGTCCGCAGGGACCAGTAGATGTTGCTCAGCAAGGATACCAGGTGCGCTTCGTAATCCCTGCACCATTTCTAGTGTCTAACAATGATTAACAGTTCTCCCTTCGTCCCGCTCCCCAGTCTCTGGCTCACACGGCGCCGCATCCCATTCCCATCGACCCCATCCTCCTTGCTGAGGAAGTGGCTCGCGCAAACCAACCTCCTCATCTCGATCTCTCAGCTATGGACCCGCCGACCAAAAAATGCCGCCGCTCGTCAAAGGGCAAGAAGAAGGCCGTGTCCTCTGACTCGGAGGACAGCGACGCATGTCCGCCCTCTCCGAAACACACCAAGAAGGTGAAGACCAAGCGGCCCGCACGCGACTCCGAAACTGAAGACGACACCGGTGCTGTACCCCCCAAGCAGCGTGGCCGCCCACCCGGCAAGAAGAACTTTAACTCTGTCGACGAGTCCACACTTCTTGACGTGGTTAGCGCCGTCAAACCTTTGGGCAGCAAATCATGGCAAAAGGTAGCAAAGAGGTTCAACGAGATGTCGAAGAAGCAAGAGCATCCCGAGCGTGCGCAGGAGTTTCTGAAGAAGAAGTTCGACAAGGTGATGCGGCCGGCTCTTCTGTTTGTTATGTCTTTCTAACGCTCTATCAGCTCGTCACCACCAAAAAACCCACCGGTACTGGAGAATGCCCGCCCAACGTTCTCTGCGCCAAGGCCATCGAGAAGAACATCCACGCACGCATGGGAGCTCGTGAGCTCAATGACTCTGATGTCCTCTCTGTCGACAACTCGGATGATGACGACTCCGACAACGATCCCGTCGTTACTGCCGTTGCACGGAAAGCGCCCTCGCCTCCCCTTCCTTCCCGCAACTCAGCGCGTCCACGAAAGGCTGCAGCCGACCTCATCACAAACCTCAATGGCATCATTGGGCCCGATGCGCGATGCGAGCGGGACCAACACGCCAACCAATCCGCTGCGACCATGCAGCTGCTTCTGGTCACACAGCAAATCGAGGCTGCGAACACCAGGGCGGAACGGGCGGAACAGGCACTTGATGAGTTCCGAAGGCGCATGGGGTCGCGGAGTCCTCGTCCCTCGCGTCGTTCGTATTCTCATCATCGCGATTCACATTATCGTCGGGATGACCGCTCTGCATTGCCCCGGAGGTCCTATCGACGCGGGTCTGTCTCGCGCTCTCGTCATCGCGCCCATTCACCTTTTGATGCCCGTCGCCGCTCGCTCTCTTTGCAACGTGGACGATCGCGTTCTCCGCGGCTGCCTCATTATGTGCAGCGAGATCTTCGGGGATTGCAACGTGTCGGCGGAAAGTTCCGTATGGTGGAGAAATACCGCGACGGTGGGGAGAAGACTTGGTGGCAGACAGACACCGAGGGAACCGACTTCGACTATCGCAACAAGTCTCCGCCCGGCTATCTGCCCGCCCAACGGCGTCGGGAACCATCCTACATAGCACCAGATCCTGTTCCCACGCATCAACGTCGTCCGCTTAGCCGTCGTCACACTCCCACTCCCAGCCCGTCGCATATGTCGCCAGCAGAGAAGGAAAACATTCCCACTTATCCAGCTTCCACTTATCCTCATGTTCTTGGTACCGCTGTTGAGCTTACGGTTACTCCCCGCCGCGGGCCTCCCGTTTCATTCGCCGAGCAACCCACTGGCGGAGTAGAATCACTGCTTGTATTTGGGTAGACTACTGATATACAATCTGTGGCTCTATTCAAAGATGAAATTGTGGAAACGTGCAACGCGATCGTTCCGTCGCTGCTCCAAGAAGGCCATCTGCTCAAAATGAAGCCAAACATCATCGTCTGCTTGTGTCTCGCGCCAGATTGGCACGTAAACAGACTTGATCTGGTTGTGTCCAACGTTCTCTGCACGGCGATTATGGAGCCGAACACATATTTCCATGAGATCCCCGCGTGCAGTATTGTCGTTCACGTCTAATGGAATGCGCAGCCGTCCGAAGGCGCCCTGAAATGCACGCATTCCCCATTCGGCAGTCTGGCGATACGAGAGCAGGTCTCGACTGAAGGCCACCTTCTCCGCAATTTGAGCTGTTGTTCCATGAAGCGCTTGGCCGGTTTTGATAGGCGCACGTATCTTCCCTGCGATCTGGGCAGTCCCGCGAGGGAAGGCTGTATCCGCACAGAGGTAGAACCCGTCGGGTGTAGCATCGAGAAGCTTGTCGTAAATGGGACGAGCGATACGGGCATCGTGCCAGCTGCCCGGCTTGTTAATAGACGCAGCGATGATAGCACCTGCCGATTATCAGTCAAGAGTGGTGTCACACAGTGAAAGGCTTACCGCGAGGAGAAAAAACGAAGACAGAGCTAATGAAATGCTCGCACAGCCAGCCGTTGTACGTTGCATTTTCAATTTCGACATCTCCAGATGTTTGGAGAGGGAGATTGAGGCCGTCAATGGCTGCAAAGGCACCAGTAAGCCGTGGATGTCGCTCGACAATCAGAGCATTCAGTTCTTGGAACTCGTCATCTCTTGGCCATCGTATCTGGGCCTCCGGGACCTGTTGTAAGACGCCAAGGAGGATCTTCAAGGCGAACCGAAGGTATCGCGAGACTGTCGTGGGTATGAGGGCAAAGATCTGTTGCAGGCTGATCTCGCGCATGGTGGAATTGAGGTAGTGGAGGACCAGACCCAACGCGCCAGCAGCATCGAGGGATCTCGCGCCAGGACGTGATCTTCCAGTAGTAGAAACGTCCCCACGAGGGACAGGCATCGCGTACCAGGCGCTGTCAAATCCAGAACGAAGGATGTAATTGAATGTGGCTGTATCGAAGCCCATCGTCGTTATGAAGGCCCGGTCGTCACCACTGTTGTAGAGTGCGTGCCATGGTGTGTCTCTGTGTGGGTCCGGCAGTAGCTGGGGGCGGCAGAGGTAGAGCCGGCTCGGCTTGCGTCGTTCGGCTCGTAGTCGACGCGCCTCGAGAAGCCCGAGCATATATAGCCCGCCGGCAGCTGCCGTGAGCTCCAGATCATCGGTGTCGTCGTCATCGTCCATTTGCTTCAGCAAATGGAGAAGGAGGAGGGTCTGGGGCATGGTGGTGGTCGAATTGATGCAAAGACGCGTTGTTTGCATCGGAAGGTGATGGCAAGCAGTCCTCGATTGCCACAACAAAACTCCCAAAATGCTCAGGAAGTCTTTATAAAAACAAAACCCTTACGGGAAACCTCGATGAATAAAAGAATGCAGATATTATCTAGCCGACATCACTGGGACCGCTCAGAAATTCCCCTTAATTAAAATTTCCTTACGGGAAGTCACCCATTCTCCTCTAGATCTCCACAACAATCGTCGAAAAAGCGGTAATTAAAGCCATGAAATATCATGAGCTTCTGGTAGATATTAAGCCATAATCTCAAGTAAAGCTCCGCACGAGTGTCCCACGGGTTTGATGGTATTCGGTCGATAGCCCTTCAAATGATTCTCAAGCTTTGGTAGGCTAGTGGTAACCAGAGACATTCTTGCCGTGATCTTTATGCTCGTCCACCGCGTTTGAGCATTGAATACATTCTCCTCTCTACAAAAATGGTAAAAGTGATGAAATATCATGAGATTACCGTATTATTAGAGCCCACTTTCAAGCTTTGGTGGGGTAGTGGTAACCTGGGTCGTTATGGTGATCTGCCCAAGTGTATCTTTATGTGATCTTTATGCTCGTCCACCGCGTTTGAGCATCAAATACATTCTCCTCTCTACAAAAATGGTAAAAGTGATGAAATATCATGATATTACTGCATTATTAGAGTCTACTTTAAAGCTTTGGTGGGGTAGTGGTAACCTGGGTCGTTGCCAGGTCGTACAGCGATCTAAAATTCGACCCGCCGGGGGTTCGATTCCCTCCCAAAGCATCAATCTTTTCATCCAGATGTCGTTTTTTTCTCGTGTGTTTTTCGTCTTTTTTGTTCTCTCCGTTTTCCCGCATCCATCACTTGGTCTTGCCTCGGACGCCTCCGTACAGTCTCAAATATCTCAGCCTATGTCTCAGACGCGGTCAGGTGACCGCGACACGACGCGATCAAATCATTGAACAAGTCCTTTTGTTTCTTATCTAGTCGGGATTCTACTTATACAAACTATCTACTTATACGGACTAGAGCTGGATGTAATATTACCCGTGGGAGGAGCAGAGTCGCTGACTTAGTGGTCAGGTCAGAGATCGGAGAAGACCCCCATCAAGACTAAACCCATCTCGTGAAATCGCATCTTAAAGATTGTACATTTACACAGAAATACCAGGGAGAGGAAAGAAACTACAGCTTCAAGTCCAAAGCACTGTACAATCCCCGCTCAAACGCAAACTCCCCACCCCATCGCTCTGCATCCGATTGGCTTTCCCGCAAGGCGGCGAGAAGTTCAGCGCGCGCTGCCCGCGCTGCAGCAAGATCCACGAGCTGACAGAGGTCCGACAACTGATCTTTACAGCTCTGGTGAAAGTTTCAGAAGCGAACAAACAGAACGATGACCAAATCTCACTTGGATTGCTTGCGCAATATCGGCATCAGCCATTGCCAGAGTCGCGGCGACTTCTCCGTTGTCAATCCAGCGCTGGTTTATTGTCGATCGGACGACAGCCGTGAGTGGATTGAGGCTTGAGAAGCCCAGCCCGCTCCCGAAGAGCATACGGGCACATTTGAGTTTCTCAAGTAGTTGCCGGGATGGAGTGTCGATCTCGACAAGAAGGTTTATATCGGCGTCCACGGAGCTGATTTTATGTTGCGCACGCAGACGAGCATGTGTGGAGCTCATGAAAGTCGCAACGAGTCCAGGGGTCTTTGACGCGAGCATGTTCCGCAGAATAGCGCGGAGACTGCGAGAATATAATCAATGAATATTATCATAACCAAGGTGGACGACTTACTCTTCCGGACTCGCGTTGACCAGCACAGTATCGGCCATCATGTTACTGCTAAGCGGTGAACATCGACCGGCCAGCAGGGGGGCGATGGACGTACACATGCCCATGAGCCATGGTGGGGGGAAATTCGGTGCGGACCATGGTGGGATGCGTGCTTCTTGCCCTTTTATGCATCTTGCGCGCGGGATTGGGCATCATCGAGTCTTGATGGGGAACCGCGGCGAGTGATCTGAACACCGGAAGCTGAAATTGAGGCACACGGAGGCCGATGGAGCGTTTGATTACCGGGCATCTTGGCCAGCGCCATGCAAGACGACGTCGAAATGTCCGGAGACCCTGGGAACGGCTGGGAATGATTCGGCGCCGACGTCGGGCATCCGACCGCTTCCTGAGCGTCCGTTAAGCACCAACCACAGCTGAGCGGGATGAAGCTAGCCGTTTATCCGTCCCCGAAGTTCCCAACTTCGGCTCCGTCACTCGAAAGAAGACTTACAACATCCGTTGATTTCTTTACTCCCCAAGATGCCCAAAGTGCTGGCAGATTATTATCATGTTCAACGGCGTTCAGGCAGTAGTGTCAATCTGCTAATGAAGAAGCAAGCGCCCATAATGGGAATGCGGCGCAACGCCTCATCCGCACCAATCAGGTACTACTGACGCTTAACGCGCATTTTCCCTGCCAATGCGAGATGTTGACCTTCCGAGCAAGTTCCGTGCAGAAATAAAAGAACACCGGTCGGCAAAGCGTTTCCATTCCAGCATCTTTCATCAATCCTCACCGATTGTGGATCCACACGCCGACCCAGTGATAGACAGTGGTAGACAGCCAGTCTCACGGATGGCGTCCTAATCAAGGCGGGGTCCGGGCACTCAAATTGACGCCGGCTCGGCTTTGAAGATGACACGATAGAGCGTTCGATAGAATCCCAGCTCGACCGGAAGCCATTATTCGCGTGCAGTCTGCTCTATGTAAAGCGCAACTGAGCTCGGACCTCATCGAAGCACTCGGTGTCGGTGGTCTCCGAAAGTGATGTAATGCCAGCGTGCCAATGGGTGGCGCGAATTCGTAAGATGCAACAAGTCAACGATACTCTGCCCCACAATCCCCAATCGTTTCGAAAAGGCGCCTCCCAGCACTCCGGGCGAGCACTTTGTCAATCTCTGCACGGTCTTCATCGCTGAGTACCAAGCCATAAACATTGAGATTGTCCGATGGGTACTCTGAGCAGCCCAACCGCGCGCCTGCGGTCCTCAGCGTAGGTTCGTGCAGGAGGAGGACGACCACGTACCAACGATGACGGCGCCTACGACAGGGTGGTCGAGCACCCAGCGAGTAGCGATATTCGTAACGCTAGCACCGTTGTGTCGCCGAGAAATGGTTTGGAGGACCAGGAGGAGATCCTGGAAGAGCGACCAGCTACCCCAGGCTTTGGTGATCATGTCGAGGTACTTGCGCAGGATGAGTCGGGCCGCACAACCAAAGCATGAACGCGAACCTTGCGCTGGGAAGGGTTGAGCGAGCTTGCGTAGGGATCTGGCTCAGCAACGCCAATCCATTTCTCTGCGAGAAAGCCACCGCACTTGAAAGATGTTGAGTGTTAGTGCTCGCTGAAGGGTAGATACACATACCAGAGTCCCATAAGTTAGCAGCTTGACTCCATGCTTCGTGCATACGCCATCGAGGGCAGACAGGACCCGTGTATCGATTAATGAGAACTGAAGAGCATATATTAGTCGCAAGGAAGCACGCGGAGGAGGCACCGACCGGGACCTGATTCGAGACAATCAAGCCAGGAAAGCGCGAACATATCTCCTCCGTCCTCTGTGCGTCGAAGTTACACAGTCCAATGTTTGCGATGAGTGATTCCTCGCGGAGCTCGGACAGGATCTGCAGCGTCGGAATATACTCGTGGTTCGCATAGTCCTGCCAGTGGAACTAGAAGCAGCAGGAGCGGTTAGCTTCTAGAGGACGAGGTGGTAGTGCCAGAACACACTTGAAGAAGGTCTACGCGGGTGGTATCCATGCGCTGGATGCGCTCGCGAACGGCTGCCTCGACTGCAGCGCGCGTGATGGGCCCCGTGGGCGATTTGAAGACACACCATTTCGTCGCGCCAATAACCGACTCGGGGTGCTCGAGGGACGAGCGGAATTGGCCCTGACGAGAATGAGGGGGAAGGCGGTCAAGGGCGGCGATGGACTGATTACTTACGAATAAAAGTTCAGAGCTACCATAATGGTCGGCTGCGCTTGCGTAAGTAATTGTAATGCAAAAACGACGTGAGACGTTTTTGGCGTACCCTACACCACCCAAGGATGGTGGAGCAAGTCCGTCAGCAGAGCAGCAAAATGGCATCGATGCCGCGGCCTACCATATCTGTAAAAGACACGAAATCTCAGCTGCCGGCGATGGGGCTCGATAAGGGGCATTGAGAGCTTACCAAACGCCGTGTACCCGGCATCGACGTGGCGACCCATCGCCTGACGGATTTTTGGAACCGAAGTCGTACCCCAGGCGTTGCTGGAGAGTTGCCAGAGACCCACCCAGAGACGCGGGACGGTGAATTCGCCGAGTTGGAACGTTTCATGTGTGGCCGTCATGATGATGGTCGAAAGCAAGAGCGGTGGCGGGGGGGACAGAATTTACTGTTTTTGCAGCCGTGCGGACCAGATATTATGTACGCCAAATTAGAAGGCAGGGCGGTCCGAATGCAGTTCTGACGATGATCGGGGCTGAGTGGGGTGACCGGTGACCGAATGAATCCCGAATCTCCTTGAAGGAGCGCGGCATGACTGTGTCAGTTGTGAATGTGTTGTGACATGCAGAACGCCGATAGTCCGGCATATGGCAGCAGCCCTGGATGGAACTTCCAGGGCGCCGAGCCGTGTGGGCGTATGTGACCCTTTGTTTCGATTTTCAAGTTTACTCGGGGTAGCAATGTTCAGCATAGGGCTTCACCGACAGGAGAAAGTCAATACCGCGCGAGGAACAAAACAGAGGCATACTGATTAATTTTGCCACGCAGTCAGGGCTTTCCGCTCAACAACCGCCGGGTCTTTCACGCAAGACAGGTTCTTGGTGGCGTAGAACCAATGCAGATCATGCGTGCTTTCAATTTCTCTGAAATGCATCAGTTTTGTTTGAGGCGTTCGGGGGGGCTGAATACGACCTGTGGCTTACTCTGGTCCAGGGTAACACTGGTATGGCGTGTTCGTTGACATCGGAATAAGGAGTGTAGTGTTTCGTTGGGCGGCTCTGATCACTGGCACTTTACCAGTCTCGGCGTCCAAATAATTGGCCAGGAAATCGAATTTGAGAATCCTATGGTTGCACATGTATTTCTTTCCCCGCGCCTAAGCGAATCTGATCCATAGGCCCGCCGTCGCTCGGTCAAATTGCAAGTGAATTGAGGGAATATCTCATCAGAAAATTCCCAGAGGACGGTGGCCATATGACGATAAGTACCCTGGTGATCGCAGGGAGTCGAGGTTATCGGGATCGTAGACGACGAGGCCACGCAGGACAAGGACAATATCTCGGGACTGAAGAGATGTCGCAATACCCGGTCCTAATCTCTACCCATGTGAGCCCAAGGCCGAGTTCCTGGGCGTGCGTGCTTCTATCCAGAGAAGAGTTGCTGCGGAATTCCGTTGTACCGATGTGCGGATACAGTGGCTCGGCACTCACCGAGTCTTTTTTTGAGAGAGAGGGTAGAAGGTTGCCGAACGGAATCAATCTGACGAGAGTCATCAGTGAGGTAAGGTATCGTTAACAGGCGCCTAGTTGTGAACGTTAACGTATTTTCGACACATGCGAAGTAGAGATCATTCCCAGGTGAGCAGCGGCGTTGTTGGGATGGAATTTAAACGGAGCCACTGGCATTTAGAAACGGTCAGAGGGCGATGAAGCAGTGGCGAGGAGAATGTTGCTTGAGTCACCAGTGGAAGAATATCGAGAATACCCCCAGTCGTGGCAGAACACTGCTAGAAGTGCT